AGCCCCCCGCGCAGCTGCCACCCGTGCCCTAGCGTTGCCAGCAGGTTGCCCGCAGCGAGGTATTGCCGCGGGATGTTGGGCGGCCGCTTTTGTGGTGCAGCAGCGCTGTCTCCCGCAAGTTGATATTTGGGTTGCCGACGACCCTCGCGTGCTGCCGACGATTTTCACGGATGGTTTCTTGTTGTTCAGCCACGATAACAGCCGCAAGTATGTCATCCGATATCTCATCGGGGCCACACTTAGCATGCGCCACGCGATCGTTCATGATCTCAAGTGTGAAATCGCCATGCAAAGGCTGTTGCTTTGGCCTCTTCGCCTGCGATCCAGGCTGATCTGGCTTCTCGCCTCGGGCAGCGGGCCGGGCCGGCCGCGGCCGATGTCAGCCGCGAACCATCGGCCGCCAACCTAGGTGTAGATTTCATGGCAGGAGCTAGACTGTGGAGCAGGGCCACGAGGACATTCAAAGGCCGAGTCAAGCTGAAGTATAGGCTCCGCAGGCTACGCGCGCTCAGAATGGCAGGTGCAGGTGCTAGGAAACTTTGGCATGCTGGGCTTCAACAAGCAGGCTACGTTGGGGCGGAAGTCTTAGGAGTATCCGAACTCGAGCTCCACGGGGCCCGTGATTTATTTATGGAAAGTTGTTGGCCCCAAGTGTGCTACCCGCTCGAGAAGCATCTGATTGCTCTACTGGGATCCCAGTTGTCGCTCGGATCTAGGGCCCTGTATCTACTGGGGCCCAGAGCCCCCTCGAGGCTGCAGATGCCCTGGCCCAGCTGCGCCGTCTTGCCGGCAACGTCATTGAGTCCATGCCTGCTGGATGGAGGAGCGTCCGAGGCCCTCTTGGAGCTACCTGCCTGACTTTGAAAAGAATAGGCTGGACTTGGTCGCGCCCCTTCGCCTTCGCCAGCCACGGAGGTGAACGAGTTTCCGCTGCCAACGACCTCGCCGGCCCTTTTAAGGAGTTGTCTGATTGCAGCCTGGCAGGGGGATCTCGCGGATGCTGCTGCGAAGAAGATAGGCATCGACGCCGTCGACCTGTCCCACGCCCAGCAGGCGTTTGGCAGGGCGGACTTGCCCAGCAGAGAGCGCGGCGCCCCCCTCGCCATCCTCGCCCAATCCATCTGGGCCCGCAGCCTCCTTAGTGAAGCAGGCTCTGGTACTCGCACACAGTGCGCATGTGGTGCTCAGAAGGACGACCTCAGGCATAGGCCCCTGGAGTGCAGTGCGTCAGCCGCCTTCCGCGAAGAACATCTGGAAACAGAGGGCCTGGGCGCTCTGAGTTGCCTTGGGGCCTTTGCAGAATATGATGGTTTTCCTGGCCCCCCCGTTCAAGGTTCCGGGCCTCCTGGTCTTGCTCTCGAGTTTTTCGGAGTTTTGGTCCGCCGAGGGCCTTTTGCCCGAGGAAGCTTTGAAAGGGGGAGGTTTATGTAGACGGCAGTGTAACCGCGGATGGCCATGCCTGGTTTCGCGCTCCTGGTTGGCCCCGGAGAAAGTTGGGGCCCGACGTTTCTCTTTCGGCCTGCGCGCGTGGGCCGGCGGGGGGCGGGCCCCCCCCCCGACCTGGCCAGCGGCAGAGTTCCTGGCGCACCCTGCAGCAAGCAAGTGCAGAGGCCGAATTAAACATACATTCGGACTTTAAGGAAATTGTGGACTTCCACAGTGCGAACCGTTTTGCCGGCAGCTGAGTTCCTGGCGTACCTTGCAGAAGGCAAGTGCAGAGGCCGCACTAAACATACATTCGGACTTTCAGGAAATTGTGGACTTCCACGGTGCGAGCCGTTTTGCCAGCAGGAAAAAGATGTTCGACAGTCTAGGCCCTCTCGCACAGCGGGGAGAAGCCAGTCGAGACGGAGGTTTCAGAGTCGATGCCGCCAAGTAGTTAGTGAGCTCGAGCCCCTGTCGGTCCGCTGGTGGCACGCCGCGGGCAATTCCGAAGCGGGCCGGCTGCCCCCGATGGCCGCAAACCGTCTCCCCCGACCTTCCGAGCAATAGCGAGTTGCGCCCGCCGAGCTTGCCCCCGTAATGAAGCGTATCGTGAAGTATGTTCGCAAGGCCCTCTACTTGTGGCCTTGCAGCGTTCGGGCTGCCCACGTCTGGCGCCGCTGGAAGCGTCGATGGTTCTGCATGGTCTGCCAATCGAGATGTATCAAGGAGGCCTCTTTCAACACCAGAGGGCACGAACAGTGCCCAGGCAACGCCGCTGGCCCGGCCAAACTCGCAATCCAGCCCAATGGGCACCATATTCTTGCTTGTGCTAAGATTCAGGACGATTCTTTCGCCCGTTCTTGCAATAAGTGTGGACCGTACACTGATTGTACGTTGAAGAGGGGCTCCACCAGCGATGCCTCAGCAAATTCAGCTCCACCTTCAGCCCAAGTGCGCGGCAAGTTTGGTGCGGAGGGAGGCACCCCACATGTCCCAAGAGGAGCCTGTTGGTTTTCAAGCCTCCTGTTCCTATTGCTATGGCTTGCCCAAGTGCAGCCTCGCAGGCGCTCGAGCCGCCATAGCGCGCGGAGCCGAAGCCTTCCCCTAAGTCATGAGATGATATCCTCCTCCCTCTCTCTGGGAGGGAGCGAGGCGGAGGAGGAGGAGGAGGAAGAAAAGGAGGAGGGGAGAGGAGAAAAGGATGAGGAATGAGGAGGGGGCAGAAGGACGAGGTGTGATGAAGGGGATCAGGCGGAGGAGGAGGAGGAGGAGGAGGAGGAGGAGGAGGAGGAGGAGGAAGAGGAGGATGAAAAGGTGGACGAGGGCGAGGACGAAATGGAGAAGGTGATCAATGGTGAAGCAGGAACCCCCGTGGCCACTTTTGAAGCCGCCCTGGGAACCCTCGTGGCCAAGGCCGGCTTCCCCTCGCAATCATGTTCCTTGTCCGGAGACGGGCGAGGAAGAAACCCGAGGCCTTCTAGTCCTCTCGCGCCCCTGTCCTGCCCCTGGCGCGTTTGCTCGCCGTGGACAGGGTGGGGGGTCCAGAGCCAACCTGAGAAATCAGCGCGGACCTCCAATCTATGCTTACTCAGGGTTTCTTAACAAACATGGGGGGTACCACCCGACGGGGGTCAACCTCGCCTCGTCGTCGCACCACGAGAAGGGGTCGGAACGCCTTCAGCGCGCGGTGGCTGCCCGCGACGGGGGTCGATGTGTGGCTGTCGGCGGGGGTGACGCCCCCCCACGATTATTAAGAAACCCAGACGATGTCATTCCATGGTGTCGGTATTTGCAGAGATGGCCGTCACCCAAGGTGCCCCCACATTTGCCGGGGAGGCCCAGATGGCCTCCAGAGAACCTCTCGCGGGGCCCTATCGGATATCCCAGCAAGTAGGCGCGAGAAGCCAGGGGCACCTTGGTCCAAAACCACTGGTGCCAGTTTTCCAGGCTTCCTGCCGTGGGACGCTTCTGGCCCTGTGCGTGCCCACATCTCTGGCGCCCAGAGGACTTCATGGCGGCCGTTCTCTCGCAAAGCCTGCGCTGTCGCTGCCGGCCCTCTTGCATTGTCAGTCAGACGCGTTGGGGCATGTATTGAAAAGCGATCCTCCTCCTCCTCCAGCAGGAGGAGGAGGAGGAGAGGAGGAGGGGGAAGGGGGAGGGATAGGGGGAGGACGCGGAGGACGGGGAGAAGGCCCTGGGAGTGCGCTTTGAGGCCGACGGTCGGGCGCCAGAGGTGCACGCGAGCGCGAGCGGGCCTCCTGGCTGCTCGGCCCTCTTGCAGGGCGTGGGCAAGCGCTTCGCCAGTCACACGCGCTGGGGCATGTATTGAAAAGCGATCCTCATGCTTCTCCTCCTCCTCCTCCTCCTCCTTCGGGGGAGGAGGAGGAGGAGGAGGAGGAGGAGGAGGAGGAGGAGGCGGAAAAGGCGGAGGAGGAGGAGGAGGAGGAGGAGGGGGAGGAGGAGGGGAGGAGGAGGAGGAGGAGGAGGAGGAGGGGCAGGAGCACGAACAGGAGGAGGAGGTGGAGGAGGAGGAGAAGGTGGAGGAGGGGGGGAGGAGGAGGAGGAGGAGGAGGAGGAGGAGGAGGAGGAGGCGGAGGAGGAGGAGGGGGAGGAGGGGGAGGAGGGGGAGGGAGAGGAGGAGGAGGAGGAGGAGGAGGAGGAGGAGGAGGAGGAGGAGGGCCAAGGGCGAGGTGGACACGGACGAGGCAAGGCATTTCTAGAGTGAAGGGGTAATGAGGGCCGAGGAAGGGGGGAAGCTGGCAGTCTTGACATTTCGCCTCCAGGTTTGCCGAAGAGAGAGGAGGGATGACAAAGCATGAACACAGGGGAAGAGAAGGGAGGTTGAAGGTGGGAGGAGGCGGGAACGATGGGGAGGAGGAGGAGTAACATGATGATAATGCGGTGGCATGCTGGAAAATACAAGAAGGAGGAGGAGAACGAGGAGGGCGAGGAACAGAAGTAGGCAGAGGGAGGGGGAGAAGGACGAGGCCTCCTCTCCTCATCATTCTTAATCCTTCTAGTGTTCGTGGTCGTCCTTCTTTGCTCCTCCTTGCGGTTCCAGACAAGATGATGTTCGGGAGGCGGAGGCCAGTTCCGCTTCTTCCTGCTGTTCGTTATCATTTTTCTTTCTCTCCGTCCGTCCTCTCGGTGGTGGGAGAAAGGGACTTGTTCAAAAAATGGGGGGGCATTGTTGAATGGGAGGAGGGGAGATAGAGTAACTTGGGATCCTTGAGGGAGCAGGGGAGCTAAATATCGGATGCCGCCAGAGGAAGTTCCTCTCTCTCTCTCTTCCGCTTCCTCCCCTCCGCTCGCTTCCCCCTCTTTCTCTCCCTCCTCTCCTCTCCTTCCTCCTTCCTCCTCCGCAGCCCACGAGCGGGGGAGGCGAGGGGACGACGCGGGGACGAGGCAGGGCGGGCAGCCGCCAACTCGGCGCCCCCTCCTCCTCATTCTCCTCCTCCTCCTCCTCGTCCTCCTCCATCTTCCCTTCCTCCTCCTCCTCCTCCTCCTCCTCCTCCTCCTCATTCTCCTCCTCCTCGTAGTCGTAGTAGTCGTACCTCCCCCGCCCCGGCCGCGAGGCCGGCGGGCCGCGCACGAGCGGCCGCGCGCGCGGCCGCGGCAGGGCCCGGAAGCCCGGGGGCCGCGGCCGGCAGGCCGGGAGGCCGGGCGCGCCCGGCAGCCGCACGGCGTCCGCGCAGACGCCGGCGACCATGATCGCCAGGCGCCCCCGGGGGGGGGTAGAACGACGCGAAGATCAGGACAACATCGGATCGGGATAATTTCGGGAGACTCTCCATGGGGGGGGATCCCATGGGGGGGGGCAGGAGGGGATCCCCCCCATGGGATCCCCTCCCCCCCATGGGATCCCCAGGGGATCCGATGGGATCCCCCCCCTGGGATCTTATCCCCCCATGGGATCCCCCCCCATGAAGAGTCTCCCGAGCCCCAGGGGGGTAAAACGACGCGAAGATCGGGACAAAATCGGATCGGGATAACTCGAAATCTCTGAGAATCGGCGGGTTTGGAGGATGTATTGGGCGCCGCGGCCACTCCAGAGCGTTCCGGAACGCCCTGAGAGCGCTCCGGAACGCCCTGGAGCGATTTATCCCGATCCTAGCCCTGTTTTAGCGGGGGGCCAGACCCCCTCGCGTCGCGAGACAGCACGGCTCGCGCGGCGCAAGGTCTTCGCCGGGCGTGTGAGCTCTGGGACCTGTGGGCCTCGTGGGACCTGTGTGAAGCCTGTGAAACTTGGGGGACCTGTGGGACTCGAGGGACTGTGCGGCGTGTACGGCCTTCGGGACCGTGGCCGTCTGGACAAGAAAATTTAGCCAGCACTGAGGCGAGAGCCCGACTCCCGAATGCATGAGGAAGCAGGAGGTCTCAGGCGAACCAGCTGCCCGACATGGCGGTCTCGGGCTTCCCGCCCCCCCTTTGGTAGCCAGCGTGGAGGCGAGAGCACGGCTCCTGAATGCAGTGTGTGGAAATTTGGGGCGAAGCGGCTGCAGGACACGGGGCGGTCTCGGGCACCCCGTCCCCCCTGCGGGACTCTGGTGTGAGTTGTTCTTTGCCACCAGGAGACGACGCGTCGAGCGAAACAACATTTGGGAATGCAGCCGGCACCGAGGCGAGCGCACGACTCCTGCATGAATTGTCGGGAGTCGCCGAGCGCGTTCCACCACTCGCAAAGTGCCTGCTCGCAAACGTCCGAACAAACACCGGTCTGCTCTGATGTAATTTCTCGTAGATCCCCCGCGGCGGATCCGGGCCATTTGCGAATATCAGAGCGTGAATTACCTACCCCGCTTTCGCTTCCAGACAAAACCAAGTCATACCGTGCGCCTCCTCGTCAAGCGGCCTGACCAGTACAGGCCGTAGCTGGGCATCGCTTGGGATCTCTTGGAAGCGAGGGTGGTCAACAGCGAGGTAGGTTTATTTGCCCCCTAGAGTAGTTACTTTGCGGATATTGGAGCGCGCTCGTCTAAGGAAGCTTCGGGCGAGGCGGCTGCCAGGCCAGGCCGTCTCGCGCGTCCGTCCCCCCCCGTGTGGCAGCCGGGCAGCGGGGCGAGAGAGCGGAGCCCGAAGGAGCTGCGAGGGCAGCTCGGGCGAAGCGTCTGCCGCACCCGGGGGCGGTCTCGGGCTCCCCGTCCCCGTCCCGACCAGACGTAAGGGAGGAGGAGGAGGAGGAAGAAAAGGAGGAGGAGGAGGAGGAGGAGGAGGATGGTGCAGGAGGAGGAGGAGGAGGTTTTGTTGGGGACGGGCCTGAAGCCAAATCACCTCCTCATTCAGCCGAAATCGGACGCCTCCGAGTCTGACTCGAAACCGGAGTTCGAGGCTCGGAGGGAGACGGCACCAAGGTCCTTGACCCAGGGTAAATCCGACTCTGCAAGGCCGAACGAATCCAAAACCTGCTCACGCGGGGCGAAGCCCCCCGCGAAGCCTACAGTGGCTGGACCTGAAACTCCCTGGGGGGCCTGGCCATCCTCCTCCAGCGTCTGAGCCAAGACCCTCCGTTCGGCGAGGCTAAGGCTCACGTGAGCCCCCAGAGTTAAATTCTTCAGGTCCTTCTTGTACGACGGAAACTTGCCCTGCCGAATCCTTCTCAGCTGGTCATTAATTCCGCCCGTCGTCGATTTGGGCCTACACAGGCCTTTAGCTCCAGCATTGGGAGCCCCAGAGAAAAACGATCCGCACCGACAACAAAACTGGATCCTTCCCCTGGGGTTTCCAGGAGGTTCCAAGACAGGGCAGGCCAAAAACGCATGACCGTTGGCCCGAAAAACTTGCCGAGAGAAAGGCCGCCACTCCTCCCCCAAGTCCAAAGAACCTCCCACCTCCCTTTGGTCGTCGGCCAGGGCCTGGCCGTGGGCATCATCGTCTTGTGGGTGCTGCCGCTGGCCATCGCTGCCTGTCGACCTGGGCACTAGGCCCGTTGAGTCACGGGGCCCACTGGACATCAGCACCTCGACCGATCCAGCCCACCTGCAGGCCTCGCGGGCAAGGCACCTGAGGCCTCTGTACAGGTTGGCCTCATCGTCGCTGACCCCATGACACTCAGCTCCTAATTTAGCAAACCTATCTGCGAGCCCATTGGCCCGTCTTTCCCAAACACTGCTTCTGCCAGCCTCGACGTCGGCCGCAGTGGCGTGGCCGAGCGTCTTATAACACTCGAAATCGCTGAGAGTGAACGAGCTCCACACGGGGCCCCACAGGTGACCACGGGGGGCTCCAGTGCCCTCCGCGAACCCAGGGCCCCGAGCCAACGAATCCAGAGTGCTCTGGCAATCAATATAGCATTGAAAAGGGGGAAGACCTACTTGCGTAAGCATATATACAGCATAGTCTTCCCCGTCTTTACTAGTTTGCTGCGGGGCCGCACTCAGTGGAACTGGGCCGTAGGCCGCCGAGATCAACTCCCCAAACCTGTCGACCGACACGATACTCCAACCAGCCCGAGTGAGCCCATCGAGGCCCATGTACTTAGCCGACCCGTCAAGGAAGAGCAACCCCGTCAAGAACTCCGTCTCGGGCCTCTCGTGCCAGTGAACAATTTGCGTGGGCTCCTCTACGTCGAAGAGCGAGCGAGGGTGAGGAAAGATGCACCTCGCGAACCTCTCCGCCATCAGCGGCCCGAACTGCTTCACTCTCCGCGCACACCTGCACAAGTGAACACTCGCAAGGTCTCGCCGCAGGCCTTCATGCGCAGGGCACTCGTACTGACGGTGCCACAAAGTACCTGGGGCCCCCTTGCACACCTGACACTGATCATCATCGTGAAGGTTGTGAGCATGCAGACGAGCTTGGGGCCAGTGAACTCCCGAGACCAAGCCTCTTAAGCATCTCTGATGGTGCTTTCCCCAGTCTACAGACTTCTCCCTGAACAACCTGGAAATACCATCCCAGAAGATAGGGTACACAGGCGGCCCATCAAGGCCGTTCTGCAAGTGCAGGGCATGTCTATCTGACGCTCGCACAGCACCTTGCCTGATCAAAGTCCTGACCTGCATCGGGGAAAGCCTGAACAAGTCATGCACCACATTCAAGTCATCTTTGATGGTGTGCTGGTCTACAAAGTCCCAGCCTATGCCTCGCAACGTTAAAAGCGCGACGTCGCTGGGAGAAGACGCTGACCTCCAAGGCTGAGCTGAATTCTGAAACTTGGCGATCGAGACCCTCATGGTATTGGCCAACACCTGAACGTGAGGGACAGCTTCCCAAACAGCAGTAGCCCACATAAACAGAACGTGCCCCACATAAACCACCAAAGGGTCTACCTTGGCCCCGAGCCCGTACGTGTACATCCTGAGCCCAACCGAAGCACCTTTAGGGAGCCTGCCTAGGGAACTTGCAGCACCAATACGGAGCCCAGCCATTTTTGTAGGGGCCACCCCAGAGACCGAGGATCCCCAGAGGGCCGATGCCACGGGCCCCATCCTGTGAACCATACCGATGTCAGCTCCAGCTCCTTGCAATATCTTGGGCCTCCTGGCCCTGCGCGACGCACCTGCAAACCTTGAGTTTTGAATTCCAATCCTGCGGAGGCCTCCCAGGGTAGCGTTGGTCCCTAGATTCCGCGCCGTGTCGGTGCGGCACGAGGTGGGTAGGGGCCAGGCCTTGGACAGGTGCGCCTCAACCTCCTTCGAACAGAGGTAGGCGCACTTCTTAAACTCCACGGGAAGCTGCAGCTGCTTGAAGCTCTTGAACAGAGACTCGACTGCATCAGCCAATTGGGCCGCAACCTGAAGCTTGGGCCCGCAACTCTGAACAGTGACGTCGTCCACCACATTGCGCACATACAACAAGTTCCTGCTCTCACGGGCCTCCAAGAGCGGCCCTAGAAGCAACATCTTGGCGAAAGTCGTGGCCCCCGAGCACCCAGCTACGATCGCCCCGTTCGACTCGACGACGGCCGACGAAGCTCCCCCGTAAAGAAGCACACGGTAGCCTGCATAGATACTACAATAAGCTTTGACCAGCCTAACTGGAAAGCCAAACCGTTTAGCTGCGATCAGAAGGTCCCCGTGGTTGACATTCTCATAGAACTTAGCCAAGTCCAAGAGTGCCGACGCTGATTCGAAGCCTGCTTTACGACAATGAGCCCCGAGCAAGTTGTGGACCCATCCAGCCCTCTCACACGTAGAGTCTGGCCCAGAGCCCCAGAAAAACTCGTACGCGTGGGACTTTTCCCATGAGCGGCAATACGGCTGCCTCAAACGGCTCCAGAGCTTCATGAAAAGGCAGAGCAATCCGATCGGCCTGACCCCTCCCGTCGGCTTGTCCAAGAAAACCACATTGGTCAGGAACATCAGGAAGGCCCCAGGGTCAACCTCGAAGAGCGTCAAAATCTCCAGAAGACGAAACTGATGGCTTCCGGGCAGCTGCAATACCCACCTCGGGTGGAATCCATCCCAGCCTAGGCCCGCCGCGGGCCCGTACATCCTGCAAACTCGGTGTAAATCGTCCAGTCTGAGCGGGGAAAGGGCAGGCTCGTCGGCAGGAACTTCCCAAGAGCTCGGTGTGGGCCCGCGGCCAGCTCGAAACCACATCGGATGCCACGCATCGATAAGCTCTTGCACTGCGGCCTGACCAGCCACTGGAAGCCGAGGATCATCTGACATACCTCGCGAACAAACACTCGAGACCTGTTGCTTGGAGAAGGCGTGAGCTGCTTTGCCACCTCCAGAGACGGCACTCTTGGCCCATTCTTTCCACTTAGCCAGCTGC